GTACTAGTGTTTTGAATCACCCTGTACTAGTGTTTTGTATCACCCTGTACTAGTGTTTTGTATCACAATATACAAGTGTTTTGTATGACCCTGGACTAGTGTTTTGTATGACCCTGTACTAGTGTTTTGTATCACCCTGTACTAGTCTTTTGTATCACCTGTACTAGTGTTTTGTATCAACCTGTACTAGTATTTAGTATGACCCTGTACTTGTGTTTTGTATCAACCTGTACTAGTATTTAGTATGACCCTGTACTAGTGTTTTGTATCACAATATACTAGTGTTTTGTATCACCCTGTACTCACGTGGATGTCTTAGAGCGCCGTGCGAGTTCGTCCCTGCTGTCGGAGTCGGAGGGCGGCGGCGGCTCGCGCGGCCGCTCCGTGCATCGCAACGCTGATGATATCACAAACTCCTCCTCGAACTCCACTATCTCCTCTGGCTGCCATGGACTGGAATATTTACATAAGAATAATATATCTTACTAATACTAAGAAATAAATATACTAAATTAATTGACCGGTAACTTCTTTAAAAGGTAAAATCAGTTACCGTTCGAAGCGCCAATAGCCCACAAACCATTGGTACAGAGTATCTTGCGGTCGAGGGTTCGAATCCTGCCCTTCGACTGTGAACCATATTCTAGCACAAGCCTACAGCTTAGTTGGAATGGTTAAAGGAAATATTAGTAAATTAACAAATATCAACTATTTTATTTTAAAAAAAAGTTGTCGAGATGTCAAAAAACATTGTAATAAAATAAACTAAATAGTGTCACAAAATAAAAACATTTTTTACAATTATAAAGTGGCAAACGAGCAAGCGGCCACCTGAATTCGCCGAAATGGCGAAGCAACTGCCCATAGAAATTCGCAATAGCGGATGCGTACAGTTGATAAATAACGTTAAAATACCAAATAATTCGACTGACACTTAACGATATTTAGGACCTATCCCACCACTGGCTGATAGAGTCTCAGATAGCTACAAAATCACTGTCAGATAGAGTACCAAAATCTGATTTTATTAGATTATTATCTGACAATTTACAAGAATTTAGTAGGGCTGACTCTTAGGGGCTGTGCCACCAAATTTTAACAGTTTTAACAGTGGTAGTGCCCGCTTTAACATCTAAGCACGAATAGGCCGGCACGCCCCCAGTAATACCACGACCACATAGAAGACAGGCGTGAAATGGAAGCAATTCCGTGTTTCGTCTGATGAGTGTGGTGCCGGAGGCCTAAGTTAAGTCCCTTTCTCTTTACCACCCTTTTCTTATAAGGAGAGGATGGGAAGGGGAAGTGGATTTGACGGTGGAGGAGATGCATAGGAAGGGGCAATATCCTCTTTATGTGCGTCTCTTCCTCCGTCGGATAAGGGTATGCAACGCATCTGCGATCGCGGATGTCTATGGGCAGCGGTCGCTTCGCCATTTTGGCGGATTCAGGTGGCCGCTTGCTCGTTTGCCATCTTATATTATAAAAAAAAAAAAAATTGTTATCTGACAGTGAGGTCATTTTGAACCTATCTGTGGCCTTATCAGCCAATGTTGGGACAAGCCCTTAGTAGCTTTTATCACAATGCACATAAACAAACATACCTAGTATTAGCGTGGTTGTATCTCCAACCTTGATCTATAATACCTGGAAGAGATACATTTCTATTAAAATATAAAAATTTACATCTACTTTTATTTCAAACTATCAACTAGAAACAACCTTTACATAAAAATACTTAAAACAACCGGCGATGCATTTTTTCTATTTACACACCCACAAGTTTCCCACATCGAAGGGTCCAAGAACTGCAGTTTATTGACCCCAGAGGTTCGTAAACCTGCCAGAAATAATAACTTCAGGTGTCTTTATCAGTAGAACTAGAGGGGTGACCCGTGGAAATAAAAATCGTGTTGTTTTACTCCTATTTATAATATTTACAAAATAAAAAAAAATCCCTTCTTACTACGACCTTTAAAATAAAGGTCAAAATATGAACTTCGAAATAAATGAATTCAAAAGAAAATCTATCAACTTCCTTATCCTACAGAGCACAGGGGTTCAGGACCTGCCGAGTTTAATAACCCCAGAGGTCCCAAACCCGCAGGGTCTATTGACCCCAAGGGTCCTAGACTCACCAGATCTTTTGACCCATGAAGTCCATTACCTTGGGGGTCTTATGACCCTCTCGGGCCCTAGACTCGCAGGGTCTATTGACCCCAAGGGTCCTAGACTCACCAGATCTTTTGACCCATAAAGTCCATTACCCTCGGGGTCTTATAATCCTCTGGGGCCCTAGACTCGAGAGACTCTATTGACCTAAGGGCCCTATCTTACTTGGAGGCCCTGTTACCTTCAGGCACCGTCCGTGAGTCCCTGCGGAACAGCCGCGGTACCCAGGGTGAGAGGAGGTTCCTCGCACGCGCCCTTTGTGCCTCTTCTATTATTGTTTTCTGTTCTGTTGCCGCTATCTAAAACATAACACATATAATGTTAAAATATTAAGGGCCTGTCGTACAATTCTTGTAAATTCTCAACGTATAAAATACTAGCTGTTCCTCGCGTCGTCGTCCGCGTATAATTAAAAAAAAACTTCATTTTATTAAATGTCAAATAACCTTCCTTCCTTAATGTTGGCAGCTTATAGTCTACGGTCTCTTTCCCACATGATGTTTTTTTTCCAATTTATTTACCCCCTAAGTTTAATATTGGAAAAATATATAGCCTAAAGCGTGTAAGTGTAGGGGATTTTATTAAAGAAAGTTTACACTATATTTTCTTACTTCTTACTAATATTATAATTGCGAAAGTTTAGATGGATGGATGTTTGTTAGAGTTTGTAGCCTAAACTGCTGAACGGATCTCCATGAAATATTGCACATGTTTAGAGCATAGTCTGGAAGAACACATAGGCTACTTTTTATCCCGAGAATAGTTACGGTTCCCGTGGGATTGATTAATTTAGTTTCTTAATGTTTACTCGATCATTCTGCAACGGTTCAACATATCATATTGAAATGTGGCACAGATGTAAAACAAAGTCTGGAGTACATATGGGATAACATTTACGTCCGAGAAATGTCCGGGTCGCAGGATACGTAGCTTTTTGTTATTTACATAGTTGTACACACGCGGACAAAGTCGCGGGCAACAGCTATTAGTATAAAAAAAAGATTAACCTGATCATCATTGAGTATAGCTTCCGAAACTTTGATCCAAAGTCTCTGAGACTCAAATTCCTGTTGATTGTCTATTTTCATCAGATATCTCGGCATCCGCTGTTCTTTTAGAATATTCACGTCTAAAAGATTTGATTCTTCCTGGAAATTAAAAAAACATATTAAGTATTTTAAAATACAAATCTGTCCTCTTTATAATAGTACCTTTGTATGTATTGGATTTGTATTTTTGTATGTATTGAAAAACTCAAAAACTACTGGGCGGATTTTAAAAATTCTTTCACCATTAGATAGGAAATTTATCTGTGAGTAACATAGGCTATGTTTTTATTAGTTTTTGATTTTACGCGAGCGATGCCGCGAGCAAAAGCTAGTATATTAATATAATTACATAAATATTGATAAACTAATGGTCGGTTTCCCAGCTTCGTTTAACAATTCATTAGTTTTTAGTTCTATAACTTTATAAATGCGTTTCTGAACTAACTTGAATTTTACTTCGTTGTAACTTAGTTCAACCTAACACTCATAAATCACTAGGTAAGGATAATACTAGCTGTGGCTCGCGACTACGCATGAAATTAAAAAATAATAAAAAACATAGCCTATGTTGAATTTTTAAAATTGTCCCAGTAGTTTTTGAGTTATTTCAATACATACAAAATTATAAATCTTTCCTTTTTATCTAGACTAATATTATAAAGAGAAAAAAATTTGTATTTTTGTACCTATTTGATCCACGCAAAAACTACTGGGCCAATTTCGAAAATTCTTTCACCATTACAAAGGTAATTTATCAGTGAGTAACATAGGATGCGTTTTGTATATTTTTTTAATTTTTAACATACAGTTAGTTGAATTTTGACTTACCCCAGTCCTTTTATCTTTTATCTCAATCTTTCCATCCCAATATCCTTCAACAATAGCTATCGTATCTTTTCCCTTTTTAATTCTTCCCGATATTGCATTAGTTTGATCAGCGCCGCCGAGGAAAGACTGGAAAGGGAAAAAACATAATATTATATGCGAAAGTTTAGATGTATGTTAGTTTGTAGCCTAAACAGCTAAACGGATTTCGATGAAATTCGGTACAAATGTAGATGACAGTCTGGAAGAACACATAGACGAGGAGGGAGTCGCGGGCGAAAGCTACTTTATTACATATTAAAGCACTATTACCCATAGTACATTTCACAAAAATAAAAAAAGTCAATGAGGTTCAACATTTTTAAGTAACATTAAGGGCCTGTCCCACTAAATAGTAAATTATCTGATAATCTAACGTGTAAAATGTGTGGTAGGAATATCGGATTTTGTTACTTTATCTGAAAGTGACGTCATTAAGTTATCTGAGCTTCTATCAGCCAGTTGTGGGACCGGACATTAATAAACTTACCAATCAAGTAAAAAACGGTGATAAAGTGATTTAAGACTTAAAAATTATTTAGTAGTTTTTGAGTTTTTTCTTAAAAAGCTTACCAAAATATTGAATTTTTGTATTGAAGTCAATTTTCGTTTTCTTATTAATTGTATATAATTTAAAATATAAGAGTAAATATAACATTCTAGAAACAATAACTGTTAAAATCAGTTATTTAATTACAGTAAAAAATATAAAAAAAAACCTTACCCGTAATTTAAATTCCACATCCGCCTGATATCCTGTATCTTGACATATTATGTGGACCTGTAATTTAAAAAAAAAATAATTACACAACTTTTAAGATATATGGGATGAATACAGACAATTTAAAATAAGAATTATGATTTTTTCTATACTTTAAAGGACAACTAATTCCTAGAGATAAAAAAGCTAAATCCCTCTAGACTTAGCCTAGATCTTAGTTTATTTTTAAATTTAAAATCTAGCTTATTCAATTACGAACTTATAAGAAAAATTCCGTAAAATACAATAAAAAAATCTTAAAATTTTTATTATAATGCCATCTAGCGCTTTTATTATGAAAATCGAGTAATAAATATATCTTATATCAATCTGTGACAATTTATATTTCTAATGGTGAAAGAATTTTTGAAATAACTTCAGTAGTTTTTGAGTTTATGTATTACAGATTACCCGGAACAAACGCGGCTTGCGGACAGACAGACAAAAAAAATTTAAATGCCATTTTCGTTATCAGCAACGCAAATACATCATCTTCCCGAAATCTGCAATTTTTCTTTTGATATAACAAACAGACACTTCAATCTATACTCTATACTATTATAATAAAGCGTAAACACACACTTCTTTGTTGCCTAACATGTCAGCAATAACAGAACATTTTTGAATAATTCTTTTTTTATTAAAAAGCCCTACACTTACGTCACGCTTTAGGCTATATATTTTCACATTAAACTTAGGAGATAAAGATTTTAGATAAAAACCCTAATGTAAAAGACCATAAGTTGCTGCCAACATCAAGGAAGCAAGATTGCCAATGTCATGTCATGTCATGTCATTTTGACATATGCTATTGATAATTTGACCATGTAAACAATAAAATAAAATTTTCATAATTTCATGCGGATGAAGCCGCACGGGAAAAGCTAGTTTTATCACGTATAGATATAAAAAAATACAAATTACTTACCTTACCACCTAACTCCATACTAAGTGTACCAATAACAATTCCCTTGCAATGCGCGTACGGCGCTGTCGTGATATACGTCTCCCCCCAGTTTAGTAAATGTACTCTCGCGCACCCCTCCAATATGGCGGACGTAGAATTACCTTTAATAAACAACACAAACATCAAAAATGGGTAAATTGAACATAGATTAAAGGGAAAAAAAAACAAAAAAAAGATTGTTTCAAAATAGTCTATTGCGTAAGGAAGAAAAGACTGACGTAAAAATTCATCATCATGCATTTAAGGGTTTTTTCTATTTTTTTTTATAATATAATGTGGCAAACGAGCAAGCGACCTGAATCCACCAAAATGTAAAGCGACCGCTGCACAAACATCCGCAATTGCAGCACTGCCTACCCTTCATTGACGGAGACGCACATAAAGAGGACATTTCCCCTTCCTATGCGTCTCCACCGTCAAATACACTTTTCCTTCCCATTCTTTCCTCTTAAAAGGGTGGAAAGGGAAAGGGACTAATAAGTCCTCCGGCACCACACTCATTAGTAAGCGGAATATCTTCCACTTGACGCTGTCTGTGGTCGTGGTATTGCTGAGAGCCTGCACTGCCAACATGTTAGAGCGGCCTCTACCACTGTTAAGATATATAAGCACTAGTGTTGGAAAAATTGTTTCAAGTGAAGTGTCAAGTATGTCCACTCTATATATGTAAATCTCTTTGCCTTGAATACATAAATAAATCTCACTAATATAAATGCGAAAGTTTGGATGGATGTATCTCCAAAACAACAGATCTACAGTGGTAGTGCCCGCTTTAACATCTTAGCACTGCAGGGCTCGCCCCCAGTAATACCACGACCACACAGAAGACAGCCGTCAAATGGAAACAATTCCGTGTTTCTTCTGATGAGTGTGGTGCCGGAGGCCTAATTTAAGTCCCTTTCTCTTTACCACCCTTTTCTTGTAAAGAGAGGTTGGGACGAGGAAGTGGATTTGACAGTGGAGGAGATGCATAGGAAGGGGAAATACCCACTTTATGTGCGTCTCCTCTTCCGTCGGATAAGGGTAGGCAACGCATCCGCAATTGCGGATGTCTATGGGCAGCGGTCGCTTCGCCAATTTGGCGATTTCAGGTGGCCGCTTGCTCGTTTGCCACCTTATGTTATAAAAAAAAAGCATCTGATTGTATACAGTGTGTAAGGCTTAGGAAGGAAGAATTTAGGCTACAAACTCGTAACAAACATCCATCCATCCAAAAAATTAACAGATATTAAAAAAGTTACATACCATAAAATTTGGATCTGGCTAACAAGCTGCCTTCGATAACATAACCATCCTTTCTATTCGAAACATAGAAAGCAGAAACCGGTGGATGATGGGACACCTGAAAAAAAAAAAAACCTGAATCCACTAAATGTCACGGATAGATTTAAAAAAATCTGTACTAACAAAAAACATGTAATAGAAAACGAGAAAAAAAAACAGAATGTATATGACAATGGAAATACCAGTGGAAACAGACACTTACTTGTTCCGCAACATAATAAGTGTAGGATTCCCCTTGCTTATCTTTCCAACAACATCTAAATATCTCCCCCAGTACTGGGTTGTAAGGCTTTTTAAGGCCCTTCGGCTTTCGGTAAAGCCCCGAAAGGTACCAACGAAGTACGCATTTAAACCTTTGGTAAGGGTCCTCTAGAGATTGGGCCCTGGGAAGTAAAAGTAGAAACATTTAATTGTATTACTAACTATTTGTTCCAGTGCGACTTCATTCGCATGAGATTATGAAAAAATTATTTTATTGTTTACATTTGTCAAATTCTCAATTGCAAATGTCAAAATGACATGATGACAACCTTGCTTCCTTGATGTTGGCAGCAACTTATGGTCTCTTTCCCACATTAGGGTTTTTATCCAATTTAACCCTCTAAGTTTAATGGCGTTAAAATATATAGCCTAAAGCGTGACGTAAGTGAAGGGCTTTTTACTAAAAAAAAGTTTTACTCAAAAACATGCTGTAATTGCTAACATCTTAGGCAACAAAGAAGTGTATGTTTACGCTTTATTATAATAGTATAGAGTATAGATATTATAAATATGAACGTTAAGATGGATGTTTGTTAATTTGTAGACTTAACTGCTGAACGGATCTTAAAAGTCATAGATGTAGATGATAGTCTGGAAGAATACATAGGCTACTTTTTTTTCGGACGGATTCCGACGGAGTCGTGGACAAAAACTAGCCTATACTAATGTCATAGGTAAAAACACAATTCTTAGTTGTGGAGAGCATATTTTAATGTTTTTTATATAAAGCCCTACACTAACAACACGCTTAAGGTTATATATTTTCACGCTATTAAACTTAGGGAGTAAATAATTTGGAAAAAACCTTCATGTGGGAAACGGACCATAAACTACAAGCTGCCAACATTGAAGAAGCAAAGTTATTATGGTAACGGTATTTTTGACATATAAGGTGGATACATGCGGATAAAACCTCACGGAAACAGATAGTATACCATAATAATATAGAACAATAATGGAGTGTTGACTGAGAACACGTATGATAGAGTTATGTGGAGGACAAAAACCTGTTGCACTACGGGAGTAGAATAAAGAAGATGTAAAAAGAAGATAAAATACTCACTTGCCCAATATATCCGCATGATAATAATTATCAGACAACTTGTCTAAGAACGACCTTGGTTCCAATATAAATGTAGGTAAAACCACTTTACTTAGATCCATGCCTGGTCGTACTTGCTTCAATAAAAACCAGAGTAAAGATTTATTCTCTTCCGCTACTTCTTCCACTAATTCCCCTGCCTGTTGAGAAATATTACCAGTGATATCATACTAATATTATAAATGTGAAAGTTTAGATCAGTGATTCCTAAAGTGGTCTTTACGACCCCTAGGGGTCTATGACAACCTGCAAGGGGTCTACGTCAGCGAAAAATTGGGGGTCCATGAAATGGGAATGGGGGTCCACGATAGTGGATCAACATATACACTGATAGTACCTATTTACTGACATCATACTATCTTAATATGATGTCAGTAAATGTTATGTTATGCGACGAAACGATGGGGACATAAACCAGAAAGTGTTAAGATTGAATGTGGATGGCTATAAAGGAAGAGAAAGACCGGAGAAAGTATGGATGGATTGTGTGAAAGAGGATATGATTAAGAAAGGAGTGGATTCAGATATGACGGCTGATAGAAATGTATGGAGTAGCACATACTGTGCCGACCCTCCGTAAGGGATAAGGGCAAGTGGATGATGATACTACGAGTATCTTATAATATCTTATAATATTATTTGTTTTCAGTACTTTTAATTTAAATTCAATTAATAAATGTATAAATTAACATGTGGTTTTTTAACACTAAACTTCAGTAGAGTTAGAAATTAACAGGAAATCAATATCAGGTAAGTAGGGGGTCTACCCAACACGGAAAAACATGCCAAGGGGTCTATGACACAAAAAAGTTTGGGGAACTCTGGTTTAGATGGATGGATGGGTGTTTGTAGCCTAAACGGCTGAACGGATTTCGATGAAATTTTGTGTTCATGTAGAGGATAGTCTGTAAGAAGACATAGGCTACTCACTTTTGTTTTTTCTTTAATTTCACGTGGACGGAGTCACGAGCGAAAGCTAGTTAATACATATTGTAAATTACGTGGCGTGCGGAGTTAATTAGATCATAAATACGGTAACTTATCCTCCATTATGTTCATATCAGAAATAGTTAAATAAAATTTCTTTAATATAAGTTATGTCCAAATTAAATAAATTTTGATACTATTTAGAGTAGTTTTACACTATTTAGGGTAGCTATACACTATTTAGGGTAGTTTTACTACATTTAGGGTACATTAATTTAAGTAACTCACCACACCGATCTCTCTATCCGGATCCTCTACGTATAGGCTCTGTATCCTCGTGAGAACATCGTGCCGCCGGAGGGCGGGGTCCTCCCGCTGGGCTTCCACCATCGCGCGGGATCCTTCGCTATCCGTGTCCGATGCAGCGCTTGCTAGCTCTGGGTAAAGGTAGGAGATAGTGCAAATCAACTAGCGTACGACATACGACAGTAAGGTATTTTTCAAAGGTGACAAAAGACAATGTATACTTAATATAACAAAGCGTACACTACTTCGTGACGTAGGATGTCATCTACAGTATGTTTTTGAATAAACATCTCTTTAAAATGAAAATTTCACAAACGTAAACAATAAATTTAAGCTTTTATAATGCGGATGAAGCCGCGTGAGAACAACTCTTAATAGATAAAAATCTTTTAAGAGGAACCTCCTCACATCTTGAATACCACGGGTCGGGATAAAAGACCCTACGGTAAAAAATGGGGATCTGAATGTTGGGCAGTAAAAGGTACGGATGAAAGGAGACTACACGTGACAGAAATGCCAATATTAAGATAACACGAATGGATAAGATGCGAAATGAGTATATTAGAGGAAGTTTGAGAGTAGCCCCAGTAGTAGAGAAGAGGAGTAAAAGGTTAGCATGGGGCATGTTATGAGAAGGGATGAATCGCATGCAAAGACAAACGTTAGTTAAGAATGTGGAGGTACCGGTAGAGGTAGACCTAGAAAGAGATGGATGTATTGCGTGAAAGTTGACATGATCAAGAAGGGAATGACTGGGATGACGGATGATACAGTTATTTGGAGGACTACAACCCGATGACACTACGGGAGTAGGATAAGGCAGGAGAGATGATGATGAAATGGGAAGTTTCGCATTATTTTATTACCTTACTTTCGTATAAAACTAGCCTTAAAATCTCGACAATATAAATTAGCAAAACCACAAATACTATATCTATATTGAATCATATAAAATTTTTAGCATATACATATCTACCGACCCAAAGTATGCTCAAACACACCAATACAAAAATATATAAAAATCCAAATACTAACCAAAAACTTTTCATCATCCACCTGCCCTTATCCCTTATGGAGGGTCGGCACAGTATGTGCTGCTCTTCCATACATCTCTATCAGCCGTCATATCTGAATCCACTCCTTTCTTAAGCATATCCTCTTTCACACAATCCATACTTTCTTCGTTCTTCCTCTTCCTTTGTAGCCATCCACATTCAATCTTAACACTTTCTGGTTTATGTCCCCATCATTTCGTCGCATAACATGTCCATACCACGCTAACCTTTTGTAACTAATCCAAATACTATCCAAAAACTTTTCAGCATACTTAAATATCGTTTTTAAAGTTTTTAACTAATATAATTTAAACTAAATGTTTAGGATATGTATATCAACGACAGGTTTCCTAAAAACCGTATACATTTATCTTATCGTTGAGAAAAAATAAATATTACACGAATTTAATAGATAATACTACTTTGCACGATAGATAAAATATTAAAACACTGAAATCTAATAAAACAGACTATATTAAAATATACAATAAAAACATGGGGATCTATCACGAAAATTTGCACGTTTCGAAACGTAAAATAATGAAGAAACTATCAAGTACATACCAAAAATTGTTTTGTGAAATATATACTTCTATACTATTATAATAAAGGGTAAACACACTTCTTTGTTACCTAAGATGTCAGCAATTACAGCATATTTTTGAATAATACTTTTTCTAATAAAAAGCCCTACACTTACGTCACGCTTTAGGCTATATATTTCACGCCATTAAACCAAGGGGGTATATATTTTGTATTAAATCCCTAATTTGGGAAAGAGACCATAAGTTGCTGCCAACATCAAGGAAGCAAGGTTGTCATCATGTCATGTCATCTTGACATTTGTAATTGATTATTTGACATAATTTGACAAAATAAAATTTTCATAATTCTATGCGGATGAAGTCGCACGGGAACAGCTAGCATTAAATAATACAAGTTTTTGACTGCGACTCCGTCCGCGCGATTTAAAAAGAAAGCAGCCTATGTGTTCTACCCGACTATGTTCTTCCATGCCAAAGTTTATCGAGATTTATTAAGTACTTTCTGAGACACCTTCTCACAAACATTCATCCATCTAAACTTTCACATTTATAATATTAGTAAACTACAAGTAAAATAATATTAAAATCAGTTCTTATCAAAATAAATTCTATCTGTTATCATTTCCGGTAATAAAATAACAACCCAATACATAGACTTAAAATTATAAACACACTAATTCCCGCGCCTTTGTTCGTGTGGAATTAAAAAAAGTAGCCTATGTGTTCTACATCTGTGACTAACATCGAGATCTGTTAAGCTGCTTAGAAGAAACATAGTAACATTCTCAAAAAACCAAGACACTAAAAAGTAGTTTAATAGTGGTAGAGCCCGCTTTAACATCTTTGCACGGATAGGCCGGCTCGCCCGATGTAATACCACGACCACACAGAAGACAGGCGTGAAGTGGAAGCAATTCCGCGTTTCGTCTGATGAGTGTGGTGCCGGAGGCCCAATTTTAGTCCCTTTCCCTTTCCACTCTTTTCTTAAAAGGAAAGGATGGAAAGGAAAAGTGGATTTGATGCTGGAGGAGACGCATAGGAAGAGGAAATGTCCTCTTTATGTGCGTCTCCTCCTCCGTTAATTAAGGGTAGGCAACACATCTGCAACTGCGGATGTTTATGGGCAGCGGTCGTTTTTCATTTCGGTGAATTCAGGTGACCGCTTGCTCGTTTGTCACCTTATGTTATAAAAAAAAGTAATTAAATAATTCCTTGAAAATATTTAACCTCCCTTATTGCAGCTGTTATGTCTATATTGTACAATTATTGCTTTGAAGTCGGTGTCAGCCGAGGTACGCAGTGATATTTCTACGTAAGGCTTTCTACATTTTTACCATAACAATTGACAATTCAAAGTATAGTAACGTTTAAGTTTAAGTAAGAGTCCGTTTCTACAGTCATCTAGTGATGGGTACAGAGCTATTAAATCGTACCCAACCCAGCTGTAAGCATGGAGTGTGACCCATGCCCGGTTACTCAATACATGTCATGACTCTCGGCTTAATGCCGCAGCAACCTAAGGCTTAATTGTCTTATTCCCGACTGAGGTGTTTACTAAGTAATGATTCGACATTGACTGACACCCCCTTATTATTGCAGTTATATAGCTTTATTGTGCAGCAAATTATTGTGAAGAATATGAATTTAGTTAAATTCAGGCGAGATTGATGTCTTGAAGTTTTTGAGGAGACAAAAATTGGTTACATCAACCGTTTCTTTTTTTTTAAACTGAGCGTTAGAGGAAAGAATTTTAGGAGCTTCTCGTCAAGTTGTTAGTAGTAGTAATAAACCAACCTGCACATATCTTAAACTCTTCCAAATTCTTCTGAACAACAATCGAATCGTTCTCGATTCTTCGATAATCCGTCAAAATGGCTGAATCCATAGAGAATTTTCTAGAATAAATTTCACCACCGGGTTCCGAACATTGTCTTGTCAATTTCTTTTGACGTTTTAGTAAAGAAAATATACTCGATCGTCGTCGTAAAGGTTTCCCTTTGGTTTTAACTATATTTTCATCCATTGTCATCTTGTCCATTTGTTTGTCCGGTTTATTATATTTTTTTGTACGTCACTTTTATATTCTAACATTATATATAGACATCTTTTTAAATTCATAACACATCACTGAATTGTTTCACTTACTGAATCTCTACTATTATAATAAAGCGTAAACACACACTTCTTTGTTGCCTAAGATGTCAGCAGTCACAGCATATTTTTGAATAATTATTTTTTTAATAAAAAGCCCTACACTTACCTCACGCTTTAGGCTATATATTTTCACGCCAATAAACTTAGGGGGGTAAATATTTTGGATAAAAATCCTAATGTGGGAAAGAGACCATAAGTTGCTGCCAACATCAAGGAAGCAAGATTGTCAATGTTTGTAATGTCATGTCATTTTGACATTTGCTATTGGTAATTACAAATGTAAACAATAATATAAAATTTTCATGATTTCATGCGGATGCAGCCGCACGGGAACAGCTAGTAAAAAAATACTTAGAAAAAAGATTTCAATCTACAAACATTGGAATGAGCAAATTTTTTACGAGACACCCCTCGGATTTCCTTCACTATACCAGAAGTACACATTGGCTACCTATTTTTTTTAACTTAACGCAATCGGAGTCGCAGGCAAATCTTGTACATATTTATGCAATCTATCTTTAAGTTATCGACCCTAATCAAGGTGGACAAGTCTTAACTTCAAACTAGGTCTTAACCTAGAACTAGACTTAAAGGCCATTACGTTGTACCGCTTAAGTTCATTTAAGAACCTGTTAATGTAATTCTAACTGGCTGTTGCTCGCAACTTCGCTCGCGTGAATTTAAAAAATCTTACTAATATTATAAATGTGAAAGTTTAGGTGGATGTTTGTTAGAATTTGTAGCCTAAACGGCTGAACGAATTGAGATGAAAATTGGCATAGATGTAGAGGATAGTCTGGAAGAACACATAGGCTATTCACTTTTGATTTTTGTAATTTCACGTGGACGGTGTTGCGCGCGTGGGCTCTTAGTAAGGGGGATGAGAATGCACTGTTGGTGTTCGAGCGAAAAATCGACGCATCGTCTATAATGTATAAATAAATAATATCGACTGCGTACAAGTAATCCCGAGGACCGAAGTCGAGGGAGGCCAAAGCTCCGGTGGATAGACGGCATAAGTAGAGATGTGAAAACCGTTGGCATAGCGAACTGGAGGAATAGAAATAGGCCGAAATGGAAAAAAACTGCTGGACCAAGCCAAGGCCCACAAAGGGCTGTAGAGCTACAGAAGAAGAAGAAGAAGGTGTTGCGGGCGACAGTGAGTAATAATAATACATTTAGAAAGCGCACTCCTTTGACTAAACTATCGCAAAACTATGCGATTGTCGATTGTTTCGCTGCCAATTCAATTGTTTACAAAACTAAAAATCAAATAGTGTAACGTCCATATAAGTCCATTGAAATCAAAGCAAGACTCAGTGCTATAGTCTAGTCAGAAATGTGCTTGCTTCTAATTTTGAAAACATGTTCTTCGTA